TTCCCCTGCCTTCCCTTCAACACCTCCATCCCTCCCTACTTACAAAGACTTAGTTTCCATTTTTTCATTTTCTCATATCAATTCCATTCCTTTCTTTCCTTTCCCCTAACCCTACCACTTCCCCTTCCCCTTTGCCCCTTTTCTTCCTCTTTCACATTATCTATTATACCTTTTAGTCCTTATTTACACTTCAGCTTCTCACACTAGAGAAACTATTTGGTATTTACACATGTGTGTCCTATTTATTTATTTATTTCACTTAAGAGTATGGCCTCAATGTGCCTCCATTTATCTAACATTTATATCAGCCATTCAAGCTTATTATACATACAAATACATATATGTATATATATCAAAATCTCTGAACAGACAGCACCATTAACTACCTCACCTGTCCTCTCACTACACGACTGCTTTATTTCTTTATTTGTAGGCCCAACTAACTCAGATATTTATTGTAGATATTAACTCTGGTTTTCAGTCCTTTGATACTCTGAAATTGCTTACTGAGCTGTTATATTTTTTATAGTATATGGGCTATTAGAAAGAGAAGAGACTCTTAGAGATAATCTAAACCTATCATTTCTTTTTTGGATTAGAAAGATTAGTCACTCCCAGTTTTGTTTTGTTTCTTCATTCAGACTGCTGCATAATGCAGAAGTGGCCAGGTAGGTATACCTCTCTACAATTCTCCTCATCACACACAGCTGAAGAGCTAAAAGAAGGAGAGTAGGGGAAGGTCGAAACTTGTAGCTGGATCTAGGAGTACTATTCCTAGTAGGCATTAAGGAATGGTGTCCTTGATAGCAACACTCATACCTTGGTTCAAAGAAGTGGCAGCAATTGCTACTACGTAGCACAACTAACACATACAGTAATGTTAACAGTTCCTTGAGATTTTCTCATGATTAAAGGGAGGCAGGATGACACACTGATGGAATTTGATCTAGCAACCTGCTTTGAGAATCCTGTAGAAATAATAGCACCAGTATTTATGAATACATACACAAACATGTTTGTTAAAGCAGCACCAAACTGCAACAGCAACTTGAAAACATTCACACGTTCATCAATATAAGACTGATTAAATCTGCTGTGGTATATTACACAGAAGGCTAAAACCAAGTCTATATCTATTAGTCTAAGCACAGTCATTTGCTTTATAATTAAGGAAAACTAATTAAGATAAATAAAAATACCTAAAAAATACTGTCTGGCTATGAACAAATTTCTTGACTTATCTCACCACGAATGACCTCTTTTATAAGATGATAATGTCTGCTATACCTTCTTCCCAAGAGTCTGAAGTGAAAGAGTGTTTGTGGAAAGCTTTGTAATCTGCAAGTACTATATAGGTAAATTTTTCAAACTAAATACTTAGAAGCATGAAGTTCAAAGTTATTTAAATTTCAAATGAGGGATAGTGCAGTGATTTAGAAAACTAAAGAACAGTTAAAGGAAGCTGTTCTATTGAAACATTAGAATAAATTCCTTTTCTGGTTCTGACACTTCTTTGTCAGTCATTTAAAAAGAACATTGTAGGGCCAAGGATTTAGCTCAGTGGTGCTGCCACTTGCCTCGCAAGCCCAAAGTCCTGAGTTTGATCCCCAGTACAAAAAACCCAAAAAAACAAAAAATAAGAAACCCAAAACATCGTGGCAGTTTCTTTGTAAGAACAATTATGATAATCCTTATTTTCCACCATCAGTTTGAGGGCCAAAGATGGCTAGCATGTTTGTGTTTTCCAACCCTTTTAACATTCCCTATCTTGAAATGAAACTTTTAACACACTAACTGAAACCAATCATTTGGGCTCCCCTTCTTCCTTCAAGCCATAAAAGGCCCCTTGCTCTCGTTCAGCTAAAAGCTGCACTCTCCATCTTCCGCTTGCCTCTGCATGTACTGTATATTACTAAATTTTGGCCAGTGGAAAGTAAGGAAAGTGATATGTGCAGTTTGAAGTTCATGTTTTCTCCCGTAGCTAATTGTTTGCATTCCTTTTCTACTCTAATATTCTCCTCTGTCAAGAATGTGAATGTGATAGTATAATCACCTCTGACCATAAAAACCACACCTCAGAGGTTGATATAACCAAAAGAAGGAATCTAGAAGTCTGGATGATTTTGTGGGACAAGGTCTCCTAATTGGACCAATATCCCATCTTCGGTCAGATATATGATGAAGAGATAAACTTGTATTTTGTGTGAGTCAATGTAATTTAGAGTCTCTTTATTATAGCATTATGGCCTGTACCCTGATTAATACATCCAACTATATGAGTAAATATAAAAATATAGTTGTAATATAAAAAAGAAAAAATATATTCATAATAAAATATATTTCTCTATATAGGCTTGGGAATAGCTACATTCAAAAACATAATAAGACAAATGCTAGTCATCCTTATCATGAGATAATATTATTAGAGAGAGTTTCCCAAAATAAATTATAAGTTCAACAATATTTTCCTAAATGAACTGGGCAATCTAATTTTCTATGGGGAAAATAATTTCCTGTGCTATGACATGGGATGACCTAATAACAAAATACCACAGAAAATACAACTTCTTTCATGAATCCTATAACATATCATGGCATATATTATCTCTGGCACTTGAAAAGAATGTTCCCATAACGTTAAATATATAAGGAATAATATTGTGATGATAAAATGGAAAGAAACATGTAATAATATTAAGGTAGGCCTTTGGGGACAATATCAGAGTAAGACTAAAAAACCACAAGCTATTTCAAAATAATACTAGCATGTAATTTTTATAGCATAGAGTTTTATCATTATGCTAAAGTAGTTAGAAAAAATCACAAATATAAAGCCCTAGAATGCTATGAAATATTCCCAAACATTTACTTTTTCAAATTCAAGATCAGTGCATTTCAATCTGTCAATTTAGTAATATTTGGTTTTCAAACTATTAAAAAAGCATCTCATATTTGTAAATGCTTTCTATGGTTTCTTAATAACTACACTTCTACCTTTTACCAATAAATACATAGTTAAAAATGTTACAATATGTTGAGTAGAGATTAAGGAAATTATTAAATAATTTCAAGAACAATGTGTCTATGCCATATTAGCTCCCCTCTCCTTAATAAGCCTCCCAAGAATTATATGGCTTTTGTCCTAACATATTATATTTCAGTATTGCTTTATATTAAATCACTCACTATATAATTGCATTTTATAGTTTGTTGAAGCCAGCAGAGCTTTCAAAAGTCATTCCAAATTCTGGACAATTGTTGGACAGTTCTATTCCATATATTCAGTATATCTAGTGTCCCTAGCCCTTGCTCAACTAAATTATTTGTATTCCCCCAAATTATCATAATCCAAAGTATTTCCACAAATTCCTAAAATGTTTCTTAGGGGAGTATCTTTCAAAGTACCTGTGATAAAGAACCAATTTTTCTCCTTATCTGTCTGAAATCTATGTTTTATAAAATAAAGGAGAGTTTCTGGGGGAGAAATAAAGAAGACATATAAACTGAAATCTCAGTTTTGTTATTATTAGATTCAACAGGCAAAATTAATATGTTCAGTTAACACAAAAGTCTCTAAATGATTGCTATCACTTTCAGTTCTTATGTCACTGAAGACCAAGGAAAACTAGTTCAGAGATCAGCCCTGGTCCACTGACCACACTTTGGCAGTTTTCTAGGAACTGTACTGGACTTGTAGAAAACAAGTGGTAAAACTCAAGTAATATATAGTAATGTTAGTTATTATCTTTCTAATTTTTTATTTTAAGTATGTATACAATTTTATTCCAAAGTATTTTTAAAATTCTAAATATTCTAAATCTAAATTTCTCTAAATATCCTTGACATCTCTAAATTTCCAGTCACAAAGTTGCTCTAGTTTACATATAAAACAAAATCTGATTTTATATCAGAATACAAAAATGATCTTCATCCTATTGCCTGATCCTCTATAGATTCATGTCCAGAAACGTTTTTGGTTCCTCCAGATTACACCAGAGCATCCCTGAGTCTTGTGCTTCCCCAGCACCACCACTTCACACAGGAAATCCCAACATAGGCCTTCCTTTGTAGCACAATTTGTTTTTTTGTGACACTAACATATTATATATCCAGGGTTTATTTTAAGCATAAGATCCTTTTCTTTTTCAATGGTGTCCTGTATGAACATCATCATTTGAGAATGTCAAGGTTTATTCTATCCCAATTGTATTTTTTGACCAAGAATTCTTTCTTATTAGTATGTGATATATAGAGTCATCTTAGAGTAAATATATATATATATACACACACATACACACACTCCTCCTTCTCCCTATTCTTCATTCTCCCCCATTTTTCAGATCCCTTTCCCACTTCCACATAGTCTACTTCCCTGCTTCTTTCCATCTTTCTTTCATTTTGCTGTTTAAATTATTTATATTTTCAATTTCTCAAATTAGAGAAACCGTGCATTAATTGACCTTCTGTGTCTGGTTTACTAACATTAAGTAGATTTAAATATTTCTCCTCATAAAGTATTTAGAATATGATAAAATTTTAGAAATTCTGTAGAAATACTATTGACTTTATAAATTTTAATTGAAAAATTCTATATCCAGAAATTTGTTCAAATGTCTGGTACTGTTCTCTATCTAAGTTTAAAGTCAAGTCCATATTAAGCTATGAACTATAGGTTTGCTATGACATTGTACACACTATAGTGCTATGGTACATGAGAAAAATATTTTATATATGAGATTATACATATTATATAAAATTTAATAAAAGCAATTATTTACTTTTCAATTATAAATTTCTATTTCTCTACTATCTAATTCTGTAACACTAGTCATAAATTAATTTTGTAGTAGCAGCTTAAAAATGCAAAAATATAAACATTTAGAAGAAAAAACAGATTATATATTGCTTTATTTTAAAATAATTTATTTTCTTTTAAAACTAGTATTAACCAAATAGAATTAAACATTTACTTATTTTGTAATAGTAGAACATAACCTTACCCTTTTCTTGGCCACCACAGCAACTTTGGTATTGGCTTTGGGTTTATCTGTAAGGGAATAAAATATGGCTGCTTCATAAAAGTGTCCATGCCCCTTTGCAAATGAATATAGCTATACAATTAGAATTTTCTACTTTCTCATAGTAAAATAACAGTACTTCATTTTAGTGGCTCCTTTAATTAAAAGGCCAATAAATTCAGCTCTCCAAAGTTGAGTAGAGCTAAATAGCCCAAAAGTAATAATATCAGGAATTCACATACATTACTTATTTGATAAATCTCTTTCCTTAAATTTATTGATTAGATTGACCTCCTCAGGTTAGCAGCAAGTATATCTGATTTCTAGGATATGATTAGCTTGTGGACTCTGGATTATATAGGATCTAGGATCTAGACCTAAATCCCAGCTACCTCCACTTACATATTTACTACATGCTGGACATGGGATAAGAACCTTATATAAAAATATCTTATTTAATCCACATGATAACATTGCAAGGTATGCAGTTCATCCTCACTTAATAGCTGAAGAAACTGAGGTAAGATAAAATAGCCTGCCTGAGGTCACATGGCTACATCACTCCCATCTGATTACAAACTCCTAATCCTTGCAGGATGTTTGTTGCATCTATCTGGGTCAACTAAGGTACCAACAGTGCCTCCGATAAGACTTAATAGGATTGAAGACTATCAGTACCTCTCTCATACTACTACCACTCCTACAACTAGACAGAATAATTAGTAACTGAGTGTTTTATGGAAAATTATGCCAGGATATTATTTTGGTATGTACAATATAGATTTTGGTAAAATTACTGGCATAAAACATAAAATTCAGAAGAGGTGGTTTTTCTATGTGTACTTACAAATAAACTTTGCCCCCTCCCTATCTGTGTGCTTAGATGATCCTTCTGCCTAGAAGACCCTTTCTCCTCACTGATGAAAGAATAAGACCATCTACCATTACAGAAATTTCCTTCTCATATTATGGATACTTGTAAGTGTCTAAGTGAAAGTACTTCCATAAGACTAGAATATTCTTCAATGGCAGGGATAAAATTTTATATTCAGTAGGTGTTCAGTATCATTTATAATTTCTAATAAATGTACATTGATTTTATCTAAACTCTTACATGAATCCAAAATACACACTCTATCTGACCAAATTAATGTAACCTATTAAAATATATCAAGCATTACTTAGTATAAGCTGTTATATGAAACAATGTAAGATATAAAAAACAATGCCTTATGTCCTCAGATTCTCATTTTCTTTATTTATCAGAAAGGGTTAATAATTACCTTATTGGTTCATTGGGAGATTTAAGTAATACAACTCATGTAAATAAAGTTCTTAAAATAATATCTGACAAATAATAGATAAACAAATACTAACTCCCATTTTATCTAATAAAGACGTTATGAGACATATGGATGTGAGGGAAGTGCAAACCTTTGGAACAGTAAGAAAAATAGTTTAGTGCTTCTATTAGTCACTTCCTTGTCACTGTAACAAAATACCCCATATCCACAATTTAAAGCAGAAGTTTATTGGGCTCACAATTTTCAGTGCATTTAGTCCATGGTTGGCTGGCTTGAGGCAGAAACAGCATGGTAGAAGGGCATGGTGGACAGCTGCTCACCCATAGTAGCCAGGAAGCAGAGAGAAGAGAGAGGCTGGAGAAGAAGATAGGGGCAAAGGCATGCCAAAGGCACACCCTGAGTAACCTGCCTTTTCAGACCAGGGACTACCTTTTTACAGCACTTGTGGCTATTGACTCATCAATGGATCCATCCACTGATGAATATGGTGCCCCCAAGATCCAATAACCTTCCAAAGGCCCCAGCACTGATCAAATGGGACTTTTGAAGGACATTTTGGATCTAAACCATAACAGTGATGATAAATTTCACTCATATCATCTTTTAAAGGGTATTATATTATTATTTAATGTAATTATTTTAGTCTTTTCAGCACAGTTGTAAATAATTGATGAGTAATAATAAAATTGCAAAATGTTTCAAGATATATGAAAAAATAAGACCACTGAAATTCTACAATGCATGCTTGATTATAAATGAGACCAGTGAAATCTTATTGTAATTAGAAGAGAGAATAAATTGTGTTGTATCTAAAAAGAGGTATTTTTTTCTTTTCAAGGCCTCTAGGAAGAATAAAATAATGATGTAATATCGGTCTTTATAAATAATTAAAATTGAATTTTAAAAAGCCTCAAAAAGTAAAACGGTGTCCAAATAAGCCTGGTGGCAGATAATGAGTTAATGGAAACAAAATGGGAATTTGTTGCATCTCAGCTGAAAATATACTTATTTTTATGTAAAATTTGCAATATGGAGATGAGTTGAGAACAAAAATATTCACATTATTTTTCAAGAAATGTTTTATGTTCAAAAGTTATGGAATTGTCTCCCAATAATAGGTGAGTATCTCAGGGAATATCAACCACAAAAATTTTCAAACATCAAAGGAATATTCTGATGTAATACCTAAAATATTATGATCACTAGAGATTTCTCTATTAATAACAATAGGACCATGCTCACCTTCAACAATACCAGCCACTAAATATCTAAGGGCTGAATTTTCCCTATTGAGAAAGTTTAATTTCCTATCTTCAGAAATTTCAGCCTGTTGATGCCTTCACCATTACAAGTAAAAAACAGTTAACAGGAAATGCAGATTTTAATAATGAAAAGAGCCCTTACTTGTCTTCTGAGAAGTCATACAAGTCGTATTTTTAAAGTACAAAAGAAGAGCAGCAGGTAGTAAATGAAATGTTCTAAATGAGTAGAGGTAGTTATGCCTCATGGCCCAGAATAATATAATTTTTTTTATTTACAGTCATATAAAAGAGGAATACAAATATTAACATAATTCAAAGGCTTCTTTTCTTTAATAAGATTTTTAAAGCTTACTCATTCATGGCCTTTGAAAAACTTCGTTAGTTTGTGCTTCTTTAAATGTGACAAGCTGAAAGCACTTCCTTAAAAAGGTAGAAAGCAGTCCAGTTTCTGGTACGGAATGGAAGGAGATTAGAGTTTGCCTTTTGATCCCATCATACTAAAAGCTGAACAAACTGAAAAAAACATTTTTTAAATCCCTCAGAGAAGTGAGGTCATGGGGAACATTTTTGTCCCCAAATTTGGAGAGACAGACAAAAGTAGAGAAACCCTCTTGGAAACCAGTAGAGAAGTAGAAAAATCTTACCATAAATTGACAGTTTGCAGAAGGCACAGTGTAGACAAGCCTCACAGATAACTCCAGGGAGACCCACTCATGGGCAGGTTGGAGGACTATGGAATACTTTTGTGAGTTTTTCCTCCAGGATTTCTACCAGTGAAGACTGGAGAACATTCTATCATTCTTTGGCCAGGATAAGGTGAAATGTGCATAGCAGCATTCCTGACAAGGTCTGACCTCAGGTGAAACTATTTTACCATAGTCTAATGTACTAAGGTACTTTTCAGAGTCTAACTGACCTAAGAGAAATAAAATACCCCATTGTAGCTCTCATTTACTATGAAATGAGGGGAAGAAAAAAAACCCCACACTTGTAAAGTTCAGAGCCTAGAACTGAGACTTAACTACAGGAATATAGTATGTTTCCCCCTCCACATTCTTTAGCACTATATTGCTAAGGGTTTGTAATTGCAGTTTCCATTGCCTAGTACATCATGCATACCTCTCAATAAAAAAATTATAAGGCATACTAAAAGTCAAAAATAAAGAAACATTTAAAAATTTAGAGAAACATTAGGCTTGAGTCCAGATATGTTAGATGTGGTGAAATTATCGGATTGTGAATTTAAAACAGTTATAATAATATGCTAAAAGCTCCAATGTTAAAAACAGACAACATGCAAAAGAGATGGGTAATATAAGCAAAGGAATGAAGGTTTTAAGACAAAATTAAAAGAAATACTAGAGGAACAGCAGTGTAACAGAAATGAAGAATGCCTTTGATGGGCTCATCAGTAAACTCAACACAGCGAGGAAAGCATAAGAAACTAACAAAACTGAAAAACAAAGAAAGAAGATGCTGGGGGAAAACAGTGATAGAAGCCAGGTATGGTGAGAAACTTTCTCGCTTGTAATCCCAGTACTGTGTAGGCTGATTCAGGAGGATTGTGACTTAAAGGCCAGCCTGGGCTACACAGCAAGTTCAAGTTTGGCCTAAACTAAATAACAAGAACCTGTCTGTGATAAACCAAAAATAAATGAAAAATAAATGGGGGGTGATAAATTCAGAACTGTGAGATATCTACAAAAGTGTAACACATATATAATAATGCCAGAAGAAAAATAAAGAGAGAAAGGAACAGAAAACTAGATTTGAAAAACTGACTGAGAATTTTCCTAAGTTAATGTCAGATGTCAAACCATGGGCCCAGGAAGTTCACAGACCATTAAGTAAAACAAATGCCAACAAATCTGCACTTATGTATATTCTACATACATATTATATATATATATATATTAAACTGCAGGAAATGAAAAATAAGTACAAAAATATTGAAGGAATCCAGAGGGGGAAAATCTTAACTCATAAAACAGATAAAATTACATCAAATTGCCATCCAAAATCTCTACAGCAATAAGAGTGTAGTATAATATTTAGTGTTGACAGAAAAAAACATATCAATTTAGAATTCTATAGTCTGTAAAATTATTCTACAAAAGTAAGACAAATAAGCTTTCATGAGCAAACAAAAATTGGGGTAATTTGTTGCCAGTGGGCCAGTCTTATGAGAATTATTAATAGAATCCAGAGATTCATAAAGAAAAAGCATCAGAGAATGAATTAATGGAGGGGAAATAAGAATTTTTTATTATTTCTAATTGATTTATTAGATAACATTTTATTCAAAATATGTATTAAGAGCAACAATGTATTTGATTATATATGTTTTGTATATATGTTGTGGTTATAAACAAATGAAGTTACTGACAGGAATATTTCAAAGACAGAAGGGTGGAGTTAGAAATACTTTGTTATAAGATACTTGTACTATCCATGAAGGAATAT